CTTCTGGGAGTTGTAGTTCCCCCCTCCTCGAAGGTCTCCCTAAAGCTCCTCGATATTTATGGGGGGGGCCGCGCTCCTACAGGCACCGCCCTGAGGCCTCGGAGCTGCACATTCGGGGGGGGGGAGAGACGGCGCCTCGTTTTTAGGAGCCCAGCCGGGCGGAAGGAAGGAGGGAACTGCATTTCCCATCCTGCTCCCTGCTTCAGGGAAGCGTCCTTCGCAAAGCATGACGGGAGTTGTAGTCCTCCATGGAAAAAAACAAGCAGCAAACAGGGCGGAGAGGGAGGGGGGAAAAAGAGTGGAAGCCCGGTGCCCTCTAGGAGTTGTAGTCCCTGTGGATCGGGTCGTGTGGGGCAGAGGAAGACAAAGTGGTGGGGAGTTCCCCTGTCTCGTTTTGGGGTGGGAGTCCAGAAGGAAGAGGAGGAGCATGTCTTTCAAGAGGGAAGGGGACGACCCCAGCCTGCTTAACGTGCTCAAGGTGAGGCGGGGTAAAAGGCTTGCATGTGGTGCCACAGAACCAAATAAAAGACAAATATGAAGAGACTTCCTTTGAAATTATAATTATTTGGCTAGCTAGATACTTGAGCCTTTAAAGGTTTAGATATAATAGCTCAGTCTGAAGAGGGAATGATATGCTTGCTGCAATAAACAAGATGGAGAAAGATAACAGACAATTTCCGAGGTCCCCAGTAGAGACAAAATACATCAATTATATAGCATTACTGTATATGACACATTAATGTTTCTGTCTTCGGAAATACAGGTTTTCTGCAGTTGCTGGGTTGGCAGAATTTCCTTTTTTGACCTTGAAACACTCAGGCAGTTTTGGGGGCGGGGGCGAGCAGGCAGTGCCCGGGGATCTGCAGGCACCAACTCCAAGCGGTTGTTGTAGGCATATAAACCCTGTGAAAATTTTCCTTTTTTTAAAAAAAAACCTGTTTAAAGCAAAATTCCTTCCAACTTTGGGTTTTAAATCCATGAATATTGTTCACATACTTATATCTCACACACACACACACCTGCAAAGGTTGCTCCAACCCTCCCCTCTTCCTCCCCTGACAGAAAAGAAGAGTCGCAGACCTTTTAGCCAACTATATTCCCGAAGATGAAGCCTTACTTCTCCGGGATGGCAGGTGAGGGTTTTGGAGGGCGGGATATCATCCCTGTTGCTGTTCTTGGGGGGGGGTTTTCCACCCGGTCTCATGGGACCCCTTTGCGCCTTCCTCTCCCTTACAGGTACGCATGTGCGGTCTGCTTCCACAGGCCGGTCTTTGACACTCTGGACATGCTCACGGTCCACCGATCTGGAAAGAAGCACCTAGTCGGTAAGTCTGCTGCGGCTCTGCTTGAGCTCTCAGCTTCCCTAAGGACCCATGTTGTCAGATGCAAAAACAACAACTTTTCCTTAATATTGTTGTTGTTGTCCGGTGGTATTGGGAGAGAGCTGTGTTTGCGGCTTCTGTAGCAAACGCAGCTAACCCTAAGATTCTCTTGTTTTATCAGGCCAAATACTTCGATGTTTGTTTTTTTTAACCTATGAAGGTGAAATTAGCAAGTCTTTCTCTGACAATTACATAGAGACGTTGTTGTTAAATCTGTCATACGTTTTAACAGGCACTGCCGTTTCCCTGCTCTTCATCATCGTTAAGCAATATAGCCTCATTTTATGGATAGAATAGAGGAGGACTGAGACACTTAGAAATGTTGCTTTATTTTGGTTATCTAACAGGCACATAGCCAGGCAAAGATTTTGACTCCAGGGTTCCCCAGGAATAATGTTGTGTCTCCTTCTGGCTTCTCCCTCTTTTTTTGCAATAGGTTTGCAGACATTTTATGGGAAGAAGCGTTCGCTCGAGAACGAAGTTCAGAAACGCCGCCACCAGGCCTATGTACAGGCGGAAGAATCTGGTGTGCAGGTGGGTCTCCTGATGTCCCCCCCCCCCAGGGCATACTGGCTGGGGGATGCTGGGAGTTCAAATTCTTAGCGGCAGTCTTTCCAAGCTCTGCTTTAACCATCCTTACTTGTGCGTTGGATTGAGGTCTCTTATGTTTCGCCGCTTCAGGCTGCTCCAGGCCCTGCTCCTTTGCTTGCATATACCAAGAGGATTGCCCAGAACGCTCTGCTGAAAGCCGCCCCCTACAACAGCTGCTGTCGGCGAAACAGGTAAGGTGCTTCGCGGAAAACGACGCACTTGGACCGCGAGAGTTAGCCCAAGCGATGTCCTTTTCTCCTCTGCCCTCTGGGAAGCAGAGTAGAAGGGAGTTCAGAAGAATTACCTTTTTTTGCTTTCAAACTAGACTGTCTCTTCAGAGGTATCTGAAGAAAAGGGCTGCAGTCCTTGCAGAGTTTGTGCCCAATTTAAATCTCGTTAGTGTTAAAAAGATGCCAGAGGACTATCGGTTGTTTTTTTGCTGCAGCATGGCTACCAATTTAATTTTTTTTTTAATGACAACTTCCAGAATCCTTTTGGCCAGGGCATTCTCAGAGTTGACATCCAGAAAAGTAACTTTTTCAAATGCTGACACAGAGAGGGATTGAAAGGAAAGATCCGTCTCTTTGATACCACAGTGCCTGGCTCTCGTATGAATAACTTTTTTGGTGCAGGGAGAACGGAGGTGACCTCAGTTCTGGTACCTCGAAGGTGGCTGACGTCTCCAGAGGTTTGGAGGCAGAGAAGCCGCCCAGGTCCCTCAGCACAGTCAGCTCAGTGAAGAGCGAAGACGGGCCTGCTGGAGTAGAAGCCACGCCGAGCAGGGAGTTGCCTGGATCTACAGACACCAGAGCAGGTAAAAAAACCCTATTTTGGACACTTACCTGGCTGGACCTGGAGGGTCATCAGCCCACTTCCCTGGCACTGTTTAGAACCAAAATATTTCTAGAGCCAATGTTAAGCTATTATTGTTAAACTATTATTCTCTCCCATCTGTTTGGATATGTTGGCCAAGGGGTTCCAAACAGAGGACCAAGGAGAAACTTGGCATAGCTCTTTGAGCAGGGTCAAGGAAGGAGAGCAGCCCATGGGCTCCGTGGCGTGCCCTGGACCTCCTGGACCCCAAAACACACAGTATTTGAGGCGAAAAGGCCTTTTCCTTCTCCTGGAGGCCTCCAAGGGTTTGCCGATTCCCTTGCGTGACATCTGCTTTTTGGCTTCATTCTGTCCTGATTCGTTCTTCCTTCCAGATTCCGCGGAAGCACCCGGTCCTGGGAAACAGCACAGTCGCAAAGGGAAAGGCCCTTTGTCGGGGAAAAAACAGTCCAAGTCCAGTGACCTCAACCCCGAGAAACGTCAAGCCCTAGAACACTATTTGAGACTGAAAAGGTAAGGCAGGAGGCCAGCGACCTGAGGTCGAAGGGGACCCGGTAGATCCAGGTCCTAGTCGGAGCTTGGAAAAGCTACCTTTTTTTGGACTACAAAACCCAGCCTCTCTAAAGTGGCCTTCACTGAGGCCTCACACTCGCTAGATTTCCTTTATCTGGTCTGTGTCTCTCCGCCAATCTCTCTGCCTGCCCTGCCTGGCGAAGTGGTTGTGATGAGCATAGAAACGGGAAGCCGAGGGATGGGTGTCCCCTGGAGCTTCTAGGAGGAGTGGCAGGATCTAGCCCAGTGGGATGAGATGACTAGGACCTTCCGCAGGTCACGAGATACACATTTGGAGGGATAAAAAGTTACGAAAGGAGCCATCTCGCTTCGACTAACCCTCTTCCTTCAGGGATTCCAGGCAAAGAGTGTTTCCATATTGCTGTTGTAATTTGGAAGCAAACCCTCTTTCCATGAAATCTGTTGTTTCTGGAAAACAAGCTGCCTTTTCTCAGCGGTGTTTCTTTTCCTGTTTTCGGGCAGCTCCGGTTGGGTCCAGGATGGTTTCGGCAGGTGGGTAAAAGATGAGAACGTGGAATTTGACTCCGACGAAGAAGAGCCTCCAGCGCCGATTCCGTCTTGAGGACGCAGTTGCTTGATCCATGTAGAGGCAAGAACGGGAAGGAGTCTATCCTGCTTCTCAAGTGAAACCCTCTAGAAACAAGGCAGTTGGAGCCCAAGAGGCTGGGCGTGCCAAAAGCAAATGTTTTTTTTCTTATGTGCGTGGAATTCTTTATTAATTAAATAGGAAATATAGGCTGGCGCCTTATTTTGAACACTCTAGTTCCAGTTCCTCTTTTGGGGAGAGACTTCACAGGGGTGGCCGGGTACGGTCATGTGTGCACGTTTGTTTTGGGTCGGAGGCCCGGGAGCTTTGGCCGTTCGAGGCCGACGCCACCGCAGCCTCTGGCCGTGCCGTTTCGGTGGCTTGCGTGAAGCTCATGACTTCAGTCTTTGTGTTTTTTTCATTCCTTTTGCACCAGCTGTTGGTGTCAACCAGGGGAAGCCGGCGGACCGGGGGGTGGGTGGGAACCAACCTGCCACGTCAATGGGCGCCACCCTGCGACCTGTGTGGCGCGCGCAGGGAGATGTGGCTCACACTGGGCGCCTCTGACGCACCATCCACCTTCATTGACACAGGGGCGGAGGGTGGGGGAGGATAGAAGAGGAGGGAGAGCCGTATTTAAGGTTGGGACCCCCCCTCCTCCTCCTCCTTATGGGACCTGCGCCTCCTCCTCCTCCTCCTCCTCCTCATGGGACCTGTGCCAAGGCCGCCTGCAACTTGAGCCTCCCCGTCTCCGTTTCATCTGCTGATCCCCATGGGGGGTATAAATAAATCACTTGGGGGGGGGAGTCTTCCCTCCACCGCCACCCCTTGGAAAAGTACCCTGGGCTCCACCTGCTTGGAATAATTCTCTCGTCTGGCAGCTCCTTTTGAGATTTCTCTCTGAGCCGTTGGTTTATCCGGCTCCTAGTCTTGACATTTCCCATCAGTGGCTGCTTCTGGTCTTTGGTTCCTTGCCTGTGTTTCTCTCCCACCAGGGAGCCCCTTTCCACCCCCCACCCCCACCAGCCTCTTCTTCCTCCTCCGCCCAGCCACCCTGCGAGGTAGGCGAAGCTGGGAAAGGTTAAGCCCACAGACGGCTCTTGATCTCGCAGCCCCCCCGCCCCCCCTTCGTGGCCAGTGAGAGGGGCGCTCTGCTTGAGCGGAAAGATCACTTCTCTCATTTGGGGTGACGCCCCACGGTTTCCCCTCAGGCGCATGGACGCTCCAGGAGGTTGGTTGGTTGGGAACCAGCAAGGCCGCTTGCCCCCCCCCAGATGGCAGCCATCTTGCCGATGCCCTCGGGGGGGCTCTTAAAGGCCTTCTGGTGAAGCAACTTGGAAAGGAATAACCACCTTGGGACTATTCAATTAATAATTTAAACAGGGCCAGGGGGCTTGTAACTGGAGCCCAGGGCCTGGTCTGTTGGGCGAAGCCGACCCCGGCAGCTATTTCGTCCCTGCAGAATTGACCCGTAAGGCCGCTCTTGGAACCATCTGTGTGTGTGTGTGTGTGTGTTGGTTGGTTGGTTGGTTGGTTGGTTGCCGCTGTCTCAAGCCATGCCTAACGAGGTGGGGATAACGAGCAGGATCAGCATGGGAAAGGTCTTGGATGAATTCAAAATGGCAACCACAAGAAGTCATTGACCAACATGGGCAGTCCCCCCCCCACCGCCCAGCCCAGTCTTTTCGTTCCCTCTCTTCAATGAAAGTTACGCCACCTGCCGGAGGGCAAGAGGCCCGAGAAGCCGGTCCTTTTGAAAAGATAATTAACAGCAGATATGGGATCCCTGCCCTTCCAGGCATGCTTGGAAAAGACGACCACCTTCTCTTTGAAATGGCATTGCTTCCCGAAGAATTTGAGAAATAACGCATCTGCATTCCAAGTAAACAAGCGCCTAATAATTTAATTATTTGTAGTGCCTCTAGGAAAAACAGCGGGGGTTGCAACTGCCTTTGGTCCATAGCAAAGAACAAGGGCACGTTGGGGCTGCGGGCAGTTTCCCTCCGAGATCTCTTCTTATTTACAGAGGTAATTAAAAGACCAGATGCTTGGATGTGGAGGAAGGAAGAACCTGAGATTGCAAGAAAGAGAGTCGGATATATCATTCGGAGAGGAGAAGTGCAAGGCCAAAATTTGTTCGGAAACACATATACAGTATATGGTTAAAAGGATCTGATTTTCTGGGTGATTCTAGCTCTGATTTTAGTAGCCAAACAGAGCTCCCGGTACAAATTGTAGGCACGTCGGAAGCTAAGGGCACGCTGGGTTCTGTCATCAGGTGCATCATTATGTTTTTTTCTGCTTGCGGCCTGCAAAGAAAGAAAGAAAGAAAGAAAGAAAGAAAAGAAAGAAAAGAAAGAAAGAAAGAAAGAAAGAAAGAAAGAAAGAAAGAAAGAAAGAAAGAAAGAAAGAAAGAGGGAAGGTGTTAAGATGATTGTGGAAAACTCCAGAGGAGCCCAAGATATTTTGCTGCCTGTTGTGAAGGAGAAAATGTCACCCCTTCTTCATTCCATGTTTAGTAGCCGGTGGGCCGACCTCTGAAATCTCCTGCAGGCCATGAGATTTTAAGAGTTGTCAAACTCCACCATCCCAAAAATTAATAATTCCCCCATGCTTTTAGTAGGTAGAAGGTTCCGAATAGGCTGGGTGGGGGGTGGAGGGGCTACTGGCACTGCCTTCCAGGTGCGGCTACAGGATGAGGCCGGCTGATTCACTCTGATTAATGCACGGGCTGGCCCTGCTGCTCCTCAGTATTTGACTGAGGGCCCCAAGGACTTCAAATATTGCCCTTGGCAACTGTTTGGAAAGGCAAGGCTGAAGGCGGGGGGGGGGAAGCAGATTTTTCTAAAGGTGCTGCAGTCTATGCTTTCACACAAAAGGACACCTGCACTTTCCACTGATCAAAGAATTTCTTAAAAATTTTAAAAGTCCTATAAAAATTTCTCTTTTTTGTCCTTAAAAAGTAACTTTGGTAAGTAACTGGGTGTCACGGATTATACTTGAAAAGTGACCTTATAGTTATGATTCACAGTACTCATTATCCAACAGATTATATATAGGTTTCAGGTAACTATATGTTTTCTAACCAGTCGCCCCCCAAGCTTTAGTGCTGATTATAGTGGACAATATTTGGTTAGACAGAGCAATGCCAGGGTGCAGTAAAGACCATATGAGACACCAGGGCCTGCTTACCATGAAATGCTGGCAAACATAGCTTAAAATATTCATATTTGTTTCTATTTTTCTGGGAAGAAATGTGCCATTTGGATTTGTTTAGTCATCAGCACCAAACGTATATTAGGTGGGCCCATCACCACCTCAGGCTGCTTTTCACAGCTGGAGGCTGTGGCATTTCCAGCACACTTTGCCCAGTTACGGCTGGCCATAAGCATGACCACCACCATTGGTTGCCAGCCCCATGAAAAATGTTAGAATGGGTGCTTGGCATCCTTGGTCTCTGGTACTTACGTAATTCATTGTTCTTAGTGATGGCGATAGACGCCCTGGCCCTTGGTCCCTGCTGTGTGAAGTGATACCCGAATCGGATAATGGAGGGACAGTTCTCCAAAATGGCGGCCATCTCCATCTCTACAGAGTCCCCAAGCCTTTGACACTGCAAGGAGAAAAAGAGACCTCCTCGGTAGCTACATGCACAGATGGCAAACCAGACTCGATTCCTCCTCATGCAGTCAACGAAACGACCCACATATTTTCCCCTGCTATGAGAGATGGGGAGATTTATGAAAGCAGGGTCAGTCTTGGGGAGATTTGGAGCACTTTGAGACCATGGTTTTGTGCAATTTCTAAAATAAAAGGTGCCACTGCACAGAAAGGTGATGACAGCTGCTTCGTTTTACACACTAGTAAAATAAGTAGCATTGGATAAGTTACTTGTGCCTTTATGATCAAGTCGCCTGTCCGTTTGGTGTTTCCTGTGCGCGCGCACTCGCTTAGATTTACAAAAGCCGAGTTGCCAAGTGTCAGGGCGCAAAGGTTTCCTGCTCTACGTCTACAATACAAGTCGTTTAGGACCCACGCTAGACGAGGACCCCAGTGGTCGGCTCTCTTAAGCTTCTCTCTGTGGTGACCACACAGGAAGCACAGGCTTCAAGAGCCCACCCAAAAGGGAAGACGCCTACCTGGTTGTCCACCTTAAGTTCAGACAGGGTGGTGTTCTGCTTCATGGCTTTGATCACTTCCATCATCCCAGCACTAGTGATGAAGTTGGATTCAATATTGAGGCTTTGGAGGGTCTTGTTTTCCTTCAGCATCTCAGCCACCGCCTGAGGGGAAAGACCCAGATCAGAAACGACTGCAAGTGGCAACTTTGACACCGTCTGTTGGGAAGGCCTCAGAGATGCTAAAGGTAGATCTCTAGAGATGACATATATCACATTTGCCACAACAAGTGCTCCCTCCAGTGATGAAGGATTGCTGTGGTAGCATGTAATTTCCTTCACCCATGTATTTTGTATTTAGTGTGCTTTGTTTTGTGATGGATACTCAAAAAGTAAATCCAGGCTTCATGGACAAATCTGATGGCTGAGATATGCATCTCTGAGAAAATCCTGTTGTCAGAGGGAAAGTCCGCTTAATCATAATCCCCTTAATGTGTAGTTTGACCCTCAGCAAGTTAACTTTCTGTTTTGATTCCGTTTACCCTGTGACTGACTCAGAACCCCAGGCCAAGCCTTCCAAACTGAGTCAGTGCTAATCTGCTATGTCCTACTAGAGACAGATCGCGCCCCGATCCATTCCCTTATGAAACCCGTGTTCTCCAAGCCTGAGGCCTCCCTCCACCAACCTGCGACCCAAGGCTGAGACACGGACCTTTCATGAGCCCTGCTGATTTGGAAATGTTCAAGGGAGCAAGTTCAAAAGCTTACACTGGCCACGGGGTCATTACTTCGGGTTGCCACCAAACTGAGCTTCTTCACATGAGTGTTGGTTTTCATGGCTTCACAAATGTCTTTCAGGGTTTGAATGGGAATGTCCTGCCAAAAGGAGGAGGAGGAGAGGGAGAGAGAGAGAGAGAGAGAGAGAGAGAGAAATTGAATTGAGCTTCTTCCTCCATTGCAGGACCTACACTTCTCTGTGAAGGGGGAAAGCCACTCATGCGGAATAGACCCATATTTCCTGGCAACAATACAGTACGGTATATTACTCTTGCCTGGTTGACCACATCTGTCATGGTTAACCTTCAAGAACAAGTTACCAGGGTTGTTTTCAGGTGATGTGCCTGCAGGAGATGCCATCTTAGGGTCAAAATAGACATGGCCGATCAAGTGCCATTGAAAGGTGGAGCTGTTTCACTGTTGACGTCATGGCACAAGGTTTTCTCATGGTTTGCTTTCCTTTCTAACTGGTCTTCACGACCCAAGCGTGTTTGTCATATTAGATCTGATTTCTCAGACACTGAAGTCCATCTAAATGATGTCCATGGAAAATGAATGGGACACCAGCTCTGATGACTGATCATCTCTGAAACAAAGTTTGGCTCTGAGTTGTCTTCTCATCCTTGCTTCTCACTGACCTTAATGTTGTTAAGGTTCACCTCCTCCAGATCCTTGTCATTACTTTTGATTTTTGCTAAGGTCTCTTCCACATTGGTGGGGTTTGGAGGCTCGTCCGGGACAGGCTTGTACGTATCTGGTTTCACCACACCTGTGTGAGGGACAAAGAGACCACATCAGAACATGTGAAAAAGAAGAGCGTGCATCGTTTGGAAACGTTACTCTTTTTTAACTACAGCTTCTACAATTGGGAACAACGTGTCCTATATTCAGTTGCCCAGCATGTAGTCCAGAAAGGAATTTTCTCCAGAGCGTGCATCGTTTGGAAACGTTACTCTCTTTTTTTGAACTACAGCTTCTACAATTGGGGACAACGTGTCCTATATTCAGTTGACCAGCATGTAGTCCAGAAAGGAATTTTCCCATCCAGGCTCTGATGGACCATATTTATATCATTGTCATTCTCTACAATAGTTTAGGAGTTAACAGCATTTTCCTGGCTGAGCTTCCGCTCCTCTGTGAAAGCTGCATGGCAGGCAGAAATCCCAGAAGGCAACGCTGTTTCCCAGTCTAGAGATGCAGTGAGAGAAAAAGCCCTCACCTGCAAAACTTCTGCAATCTGTCACAGAGTTGTGCTAAACCTGGCAAATACAGATGTTTGGATGGGGGGGGAGAGCAACAAAGATATGCTAAAAGAAATCAATAGGAGGAAAAGAGAAGAAATCAAAAGTCAGGATAGACAGGATGCTGCCTGACCTCTTTGGGGAGAGAAATACTAAGAAAACGGAAATAAGTTTACATCGTGACACTTAGAAAACTGGAAATGGAATAGAGAAGAAAACTGGCAGAGGGAGACACCCATCTTTAGCAGACTCCCTCCTTAACCACTGAGCCAGCTATCCCTCCCTCGCCGTGACAGTGCCGGTTGCAGCCCACTCACTGTTGATGCCTTCTGTGTTGGAGATGTTGCCACTGCAGATGGCGTCGTAATACTGCTTGTTGCTCATGAGGGTGTACATGCCCAGGATGGCTGCAAAGCATCGGGAGAAAAACAGCCCCTTTTAATCTTGTTTACTCGCTGCTTTCTGGTACTCTCCCCCTACCCTTAATTGGTTATCCCAGCAAAATGTTAGTTTTTTCAGAGCTGTGGATACTCTTGTTGTGGTGATCAGGGATGGCAAAGGTCCCTTTTTTGGTGGATTACAATGACAAGAATCCCTGGCCATTGTGGACTCTGGGGGTTGTAGTTAAAAAAAAAAAAACCCAGAACCTTTCCCCTCTTTGTGGCGATATACCTCTGTCTGGGTTTTGATCCCTTCAGGACCCAGATGGAGATTGATTGGATACCATGCCCCTCTATAAGAAGTTCATATCCCTGCCTGTGAAAAGTATAATCTCGGAGAGAAGGCAAAAGTGGAATCCCTGAGAACCTCATTTGCTGCAAGCATGGATTTTGATGTAGCCCTGGAGAGAGGGGGTGGACTGTCCATGCAATTCTCCCCCCCTCATATCAAAAGATGGATCATGCCCACATCATGTGCCCACAATCTCCCTGTAAGGAACACAAGCTGAACAACGCCAATTACCGTAAATGTAGATACCTGCCTTGATTCAAGGTTATATCAAGATAATTTCTTGTTATATCCGTACGCTCTTATCCCTTCCTGTTGGCACTCGGTTCTGTAGCTTGCGTGGTTAGTACTTCACTGTCTATCATACTTGTTCGGGGTGTTTGGCAAATTCAAAATTAATTGCAACTGGTGTTTTGATTTCCTTGCTCATCAGGACCTAAGTATGCATTTTATAAAATATCATTCTGCCTGATTTATTATCTGGATACTGTATAGGCACTTGTGTGTTTCTATATTTTCAAAAAAACATACATAATTTAGTTTAAAGAAGGCTGAACAAGTGATTCACCCTGATTTTCAAATCCTTACTGGAAACCCAAGTCACGTTGGGAACATATCTGATGGTTGGGTGGGTGGGGAGGGAGAAGAGACCCCCTTCTCCTACACAGGTTGAGAAAGTGACCTTTTGAAATGAAACTCCCAGAATTCCCCGGCTGTCATTCCAAAAGAGAGAGAGAGAGAGATTGAGAGAGAGAGAGAGAGAGAGAGAGAGAGAGTCACTTTTGCAAATGCTGGCTCTTGGCCATCTCTGCCACGGGTGGCGGGTGTGAGAAGCAGCAGTGACGGCGCTTCTGCTCCCGGCCCCTGAAGCCCCCCTCGAGCTCTGATTCTCAAAGCTCAGCAAGGAGGCCTGGCCGCGCGCCAAGCCAAGACTAAAATCAGAAACCTCCACCCCTCTCTCTGGCGCTATCGGCTTACACCTGCTGGGGAGCCGGGAGGGCAATAAAAATACATGGAGCATGGGTGGGGAGGTGACACCGAGGGCCTTTCCCATCACAGCCACTCGCCCGCCCTTGACGTAGTAGAGGTGGCCGGGGGGGGGCGGGGGAGGCTGGTGTCTATGGGGAGGAAGGCTCTCCCTTCACCTGCCTACCTGGAATTTGCCTGGGTGGCCTATAGTTTTTGCCAGCTCTGGTAGACTCCTCCTGAAAGGGAAGGTTTCATTCAAAATCTCTTAGGTGATGATCATGGCCAAGGTGTAGGACGAAGGCCAGGTGTGCATGCAGGCACGCAAGAGAGACAAGGCAAAACTACAAGTCATGTTTCCAGTTTTTTTTAACAGCCAGGACAGGGAGAGTGTCGGGACCATGGCGGCCGGGGAGGGAATCTTAAGCCACCCACCCGGTGCTCTCTCTCTCTGCCTCTGTGTTGTGGTCCTAAGCAAGGGGTTTTTTTTTGCTGTTCTGAAGCGGCTCTTCCACCTGAGAGAGGAAGCTGAGAAATGTGGCCAGGGGAATCACATAGGGATACAGCAAAGCAGCCTCATCGGGGGGTGGTGGTGGTGGTGGTTAGGTTAATCAGGCAGCCTTCAGTGGTTGTAAGAAATTAAGTCTCACCGGTTGGGACTACACCTCCCATAATCCTCTGGGCAACCACGGGAGGGGAACACCGCAGAGGAGGGAACAGCGCTAGCTGCGCTAGCCAGGGGATTTTGGGACCTGTGGTGTTTTCCCTAAGGAACTTTTCTGGGTAGATGCATTAGTCGCTTGCGGCAAAGAGTCTTGTGACACCTTAAGCAGTACATCTACCTGGCAGACGTTTTCATTTCCTCGGATGAGTATGTCCAACAAAACATTAGCCTTTAAGGCGCCTCTATATCTGTTGTTGTTTATCAGCACGCAGGTTGGCATTCAGACCCCTAGCGAGTGTTCGACCTGCTCCCCTAAGATGATAGTATCTCCCCCTTCCCCCTCTCTCCGAGGCATCTCGATGGTCATTGGCCATCACTGGGCACCTTGGAGCAGAGAGTTCCACAAGCTCATGGTGACACCTGCGTGAGATACACCTCCTTTCCCCCCACCCCTGTCTTCAAAAGCACCCTGCTCTTTTCCCCCAGTCCCAAAGCCCGTCAGCTTCCTCTCCTCCCCTGTTGCGCCTTTTCCCCCTCAGAATCCCACCCTCCCTTCTTCTTCTTCTTGTTTTCATTTTTTTACCTGCAATGTCGCACATTTCGGCGTCGGTGGCATTGGCCAAGGCCTCTTCCAGTTCAGGCTCCAGCGTGATCTGCTCTTCCTTGGGGATTTCCCTCTTGGGGTTCTTCGGGATGAAGGGTTTTCCTGCCGGTGGGGGTGGGGAAGGGCAAGGAGGGAAGGTCGGGACGGGGAGGAAAGCAGGAACGTTAACAGAACCGGAAGAGGAGCCAAATACACACACTTGCGAGTGTCGTCTGTCAGGAAGGGAACCGTCTGCCTTCCTTTTCCCGTGAGAAATGACACTGGCTGTAGAGGTTGGGTTTCCATCCTGCCCTACACAGGGTTGTCTTCCTGTTTTATCCTCACAACGACCCTGCGAGGCAGGCCAGGCCAATACTGCTACCCCGCTGAACAGTTTTCTAGTGGGTTCTCCAGAATGGGGAAATAAAGAGGTATAAGTAAAATGCTTCCCTATAGGAGTTATTGGGGGGGAGGACAGGGTTAACTAGGATAGGAGGAAGGCACATTTCAGATGTAGCACTTAGAAGCTGTCTTTTTCTTTTCTTTTCCTTTCCTTTCCTTTCTTTTTCTGGGTTGTTGTTGTTGTTTTTTTGATAACTCCCAGAATGCTATCTGGGGCTTCAGGGAAATTCCCTTCTAAAAGTCAGTTGTCTGAAAGATACAGGTCAAGTGGGGATTAAATTGGTTCATTTATTACACAGAAAGTGTAATATTCTTCTGCTTTTCAAAGTTACTTTTAAAGGGCTTTTTGGAGGCATGTTAACTGGGATTTTTCCCTAGGAAGCCTAACAGGATTTTNATTTTCCCCATCAAAAACTAAGTTGGCTGGGGGGGGGGAGGGGCACAGAGGAACGTAATAGGAAGTGAAAGGAGAAATTCAAATACTGTAGTTACTTTTCTCCCACAAAAACAAACAAAATGACAAGTGTTCTAACAGGAATGAATTACTATTTTTTTTTTTAAAAAAAATCCAAGTTCTGGATTCTTCCAACACATGCAGGTCTAGAAACTTTAACAGTTTGTTTGTTTGTTGCTCTTTAAATCCAACATTAGCATAGCTGGGATTCCCAAACAGGCGGCTCCATTTCATGCAGCCCAGAAGGCCCCCGTATGTGTCGTATCCTCAGAATGGCCTTCCTCTGAGCAGTCAGTTTGACCACAGGGAGGAAATTAAGGATTCATTAATATCACTCCGATGTTTTATTGCCCCCTGTATTGGAAGAATAAAGAAGAAGATACAGTGATTAAAATATGGGGCCATGTACTTTCGGTGTCGTGAGCTGCTTACAACTCTTGTAGTCTGCGAGATCTAAAGTAGGGCAGAAGGAAAGGAAGCTTAGAAATGTAGATGGGTTTAAACAAGCTTTTCCAATATTGGGAGTAAAAATAGGACTGGTAATTCAATACGGGTGGGAAGAGAAGGTGATATATTAGATTGAAGTGAGGCGATGATGTGACGATTTGATGCTAGGCTTAGAAACCCTGCAATGTTTGTTATATTTACTAATTTATTTATGTATTCGTTAGCACCATTTTTATTTCACTTTCCTTACCGTGAATTCCATGTGGGACACATGAATCTTCTCCCTAGTTTACCCCTAAGAGCAACCCTGCAAGGTAGGCCTGGCTCAGAGCAACTGGCTCAAGGTTACCTAGTGGATTTCACAGCCCAGAGGGAATGAGAAAATGAATTTCGCAAATCCTACTCTTACCCATGACATCGTGGGATCCCTTAAATGTTGCGTCTTTTACGTATTTTGTAAGCAATATTTTGGTCTTCTAATTAAAAATAAAAGAAAGAAAAAGGCGTAAGGTTACTATGACCTTGCTTGATTAACTCAGAGAGAGAGAGAGCGAGCAAAAGAGCAAATCATCTTTTAAATGCTGCAGCCCTGGGATCTTTCCTTCATTCTGGTGTAGAGAAAAGTAAATTAGCGTGGGAAATGTTGAGCAAGAGAGGAAGAGTAATAAGGGCAAACCTGAGACAGCACCCCCCCCCATCATCTTCCCATCTGTTGGTGGCGTCCACCTGTTGCTTCTTATCACGGCCGCTTGGCATCCTTGACTGGCCGCTGCTCCAGTAAAGTTCAATTTGGATGTTTTCATTTCCTTAGGCTGTGAACAAGCCCATTCCGAGGGCCACATTCTGACGGGGCAGAGAGCCCGTCGTTAAAAGAGGAAATTCCTTAACCACTGAAAACTTGTGATTGTCACACACACACCCCATGGTTTGCAAATTTGCTGCTTTGTTTAGAGATTGGTCACCCAGGGCTAAACTCAGGCCTGATTTCTCAGGCATGAAAGTGCGTCTACATCACGTCTCTGGCGACAGCGGCTCTGATGAGTTTTCAGGTCTAAGGCTTTGAATGTCAGACTCAGATTTGGGGTCCCATTTTCCAGGTCTCCACCTTTGGACCCAGCTCTCCTGGCATGGGAAGGTGCCAAGCCGGCCATTTGACATTTTGGGGTGCCTTCTCATGATGGTTTCAGGAGGGAACATTTTGATATGCTCAGAAGCATTCTCGTCTTTCTCATTTCCTTGTATGCTGCAGAGCTGCTGGAATCCACCTATTGGCCTTCAAGTCTATCCCAGAGTCTCTGCCTTATCCCTTGGTCTCTCACACACAGAAACCATTTGACAACAGTGGCTGAAGGGTTCAATTCATGACCTCACTGGGCCTTCCATAAGGATCCATCTTTGGCCTTGGAAACTCAGAGGAGGGGGGCACGGCTGAGCTGTCCACCCTCTACCCCGGCCGAGAAAATGCCTTCGGGGCCCCACGAACTCCCCACGTTCTTCTTCTGGAAAAAGTTCCCTCCCTGCAAAGAGGTTCAGCACCTTGGATAGCCCCCCTGTCATGTTCAGGATTTGCCACTCCGGTGAAATCGAAGCCCTCCGTCTCCGCCGCTGGCTCCAGATGTTGCCGGATTCTAAGTCCCACCCGCCTGCGCCACCGCCTCCCGCGGGGCGAGATGGGAGTCCGTCCGGAGGGCCCCAGGTTCTCTCTCCCTTGGCGAGCGTGGCAGCCGTGGAATCCGTGGGAGAGCCCTGGACGAACCGGTCCAACTTTTGAGTGCAGGGAGCGCTCTCCCGATCTGATGCCCAGGACAACTGATCCAAATACTTGACCTACCTCGCAGGGTTATTGTGGGAAGTAGCATGGAGTAAAGCCCACTCAGAGCTCCTCAGAGGAAGGATGAAACACAGAAATGCCAAAGGCACAGAGCGAAGCTTTCCGTGCGATGGCTGGACCTCCGAGGTGGGGAGGAAGCAGTGGTGGTGGCATTTCGGCAGGCCCTGCTCCTGAAAGGTGGCCTAAGACATCAGGCTGCCCGAGGAAACAAAGACAAGACGGCGCCTTCAGCCGCTCCACTCCAAACCCGTCTCTCTTAAATGTGCGTGAAACGAAACGAAAGGCAAGTCCCTCAAACTCGTATCTTCCACTTTAAGGGTGCCCTTGAAATCCTCTGCTCGTCACGGTGAAGGGGAAAGAAACGAAATCCCGTGGATTTGCAGCCATGGGCACAGAAATAAGTCTCCCCAAACCAGTGAGTCTTACTTTGAAGTCGGTTCACCTCAGATCGGATCCTAAATAAGATTTTTTTTCGGTGTGCCAGTGAGAGATGAACTAGGATTCGAAGAGATGCCGGGAACACTTTTTTTCGGTGTGCCAGTGAGAGATGAACGAGGATTCACTAGGAGGAATTACGAGGAACCTCCATGGGGTCAGGACATCTGAGCTACACACCAGGCTATTTTGAATTCTCACCATGCTCCAGGCCAAGCTAAATATAACCCTTACTCTCGACCCCATCCCGAGACCAGGCCTCCATGCGACGTGGGCCTCTGGCGACACCAAAGAGCAATTTCCCACACAAGTGGCGCCCTGGATCCAAACAGCAGCACATTCGTGTGTGATTCTGGAAGATCCCCTCTGCACATGCCTCCAGGAAGCCTTGCCCCCTTGGCAACTGGCAGGCGTGGCTTTATAAAGTTGGAAGCACAACAGTTTATGTGGAAATTGTGACAATAATGCTATATGCTAGGTAAAACTGATCCTAGTAGCTGGGTAATTATATATTATAAAGGACTGTTTATCAATTCAAACACCGCCGTACTTGGGACAAGCACATATGGTTTACAGATGTGGCCCAGTCATAACCCAGGGTGTATCAACTGATAGATCACAGCTAGTCATTTTTGGCAAAATGAAAAACTGACACCACCACCCCCCCCCCCAAAAAAAAGATTTGCAGATCCAGCAAACCATGGCTTGCATGATGACCAAACTATGGTTTCTAGGGCTGATGACAAATCATTGTCTTCCCAATTGGGCATCACCCCACCTCATTAATCCCGGTACGGCATGTCACTTGATTGGAGGCACCAGGTCCATGATGCCTCCTCTCACGTACCTTTCTTCTCCCCAGTGAAGGGCACCAGGTCCTCCCTCTCCTTCACCTCCAGCGCCTGCTTCTCCAGGTGCTGCATCAGGGCGTCTCGATCCAGTGGCCCCGTAGGGCTCTTCTTAGTCTGATCTCTCTGCCGGAGCCCAGCCGGAAGCATTATATTCTAGGAAGCAGAACAGGAAATCGGGAGAAGGGGGTCACAATACGGTCCTGGTGAAGTTTCATCTCTCCCAATACAGGTTCCAGCCTCTTTCAGAAGAGGGGGTTTCCGTCAGCTCGTTTCCAAATCAAAAAATTAGAACTTTCCCTAAGCAATACTTGACTCCAAGTTTATCTAGACTCAGAGGACTGCGCCTCTCACATGCAAGACTTTGTCTGTGTTTTAAGATCTTTGTGAGGGGAGCCGGTAGTCCTCATGGGAATGCCCAAAAGTTGAGATTCTTCTCCAGATTTAGGGCTTCTGGCTAATAGAAGTCTAATCATTTGTCGCAGGGTGCTTAGCAAGGGCGGCACTCGCTCTGCGGATTACCATTTCATTCTCTCTCCTCCCTCCACTTCCGGCCCTAAACTCTCTCTCAGGCTTACTTCTGGATCCATTTCCTGCAGCTCCAGATCAAGTTGTGCCAGTTCCTCTGCGGACAGCTCCCTCAGGATCTTATCTTCATCAATATCTCGATATTTCTCCAGTTCTTGCCGATACGAGGTCGTCATGGTTGGTGCAAGGTGTAGGATACTGAAGATCCCTGGGAAGAGGAAACAGAAACAGCCAAATGAGTAATTAAAGTTTGGAATTAAATATTAAAAGCTCCAGGATAAAACCTGGATGCAACAACCTGGGGCTTTCCTGGAGAACAAACCATGGAACTCCCTGCCTCTTGGTTCTCTGCAAATTCTACCGTGTAGAAATTCCGAATTCTTGTCACTATAATTGGATATCCCTTAAAGTATTTGTTATTAATTCAGTGCAATAGTAACTTTGCTAAGTGGCTGAATCTACATCTTCTTGGCATATGAGACGCATAGAGTTTGTCAGGCAAACGAATACATGGGCTTTTAGATTATGCCGTCCTCGTTTTTTAAAAGTACTGTACTAAATGGATTCCTTTACTTCTTGGCATATGAGACGCATAGAGTTTGACAGGCAAACAAATACACTTCATGGGCTTTTAGATTATGCCGTCCTTGTTTTTTAAAAGTGCTGTACTAAATGGATTCCTTTGTTTTTATATATGTATAAACCATTTATACTTGGGGATTACCAAGTTGGATACACACATAAGCTTGAGACACAAACATTTACATCACCTATAAAATAGATGGTAACGCCCAACTAAACCAGAATGGCTTGGAGAGAAATAAGTGAGGTCTAAAAACAACAGCAATAGTTAGACCATCTTTGACACCAGAGGGAAAACTGTTCCCCAGAGAAGGTGCCCTGCTTCCAGAATTATTTATATATAATTAATATGCTTAGGGAGAGGCACATTTTCAAACAGCTTGCCTCTTAAAGTCTCCTCCAGATGTGCTAGACTACACTTCCCATCATCCCCACCCAAAAAGGCTCCTGGCCATTTTATATAAAGGTGTTTGGAAGTGTGGGTGGGCACGCTAAAAATTCATGTCAGATTTTAAACGGCGTGTACGGACTCAGCTGAATCATCCAGACCGACTGAGTCTCCCAAGTTTCTGCTGATGCTAAGCACAGACTCGGGTTGCTTTTGCTGAGCGAGTGGCTCCCTCGGACGGGCCTGAAAAACGGCCTCTTCAGCTTCTCTTCGTTCTCCAGGCCCGCCAAAAGGGCAGCCCGCGAGCGGCTTGTCCAGGAGGCAAGAGGGTGTTGAATGAGTTTCCCCAAACAGCTGATGAGCCCTCCTTCCTCCCTTTTAAAGCTCATTATTAAGCTTGGTGCCTCAAAGGAATATTTTCAGGATAACACGGAGTGCAGAGTGCAGCCCTCTGCGCTCCTCTACCAGTCCGGACTGGAAACGGAGCAAACGCCAAACACAGCGGCTATCCTTCCCAAACCCGAAGGCTCTATGCAGACAGAAAGCTAGCCCCTCAGGCAGAGCAATGGTGGCGGCCGGACTTTTCCTGTCCTTTTGGTCAAGCCTGGATCTCGTGTGAAGGGCTGCGCCGCACAATGTTGTTCTTTTTTTTTTTTTAGCACATAAATGGTCTGAGCAAATTAACCCAGTTTGATGGGCTGTTTTGATATTGTTCTCTCCCCCCCCCGGCTGCTTGTTCGAATTTATCTGAAGACAACACCCCATCTCACCCTCCATATTACTACATCGACCTTGTGAAGCAGGCCAGATGGGGAAGAAGGCGGCTAAATCCGCCTAAATGGTTTTCGTAAGGGCCCTCCTGTTTTGCTGCAAGTGGAATTCTCTCTCTCTCTCTCTTTCTCTCACACAGATGAAAGAGTTCTTGTCTGCTTTCACCCTTTAGTGAAAAACACAGGGCTGCACCAACGGAGATAACAGGGCAGAGTCTCCCCCAAGACGGATGAAAGCAAATGTGTTTATTTGTGATGCCCAAGGGAGCTAAGGTAGAGGCAAATGGCTGATCTGCATCTCCTCCTCCTTCTTGTGAATAAGTAGAAATTAAATTGCCATGGGAAAGCTTTATGGGCTTCATTGCTGCCTGACATAAGAATGGATCTCTCGATCTCTCTCCCCCCACAAGTTTTCAGCAAGTACCCTGCCCCACATGTTGACAAAAGCAAAAAGAAAGGTGAAGCTTGTACCAGTATCCTTTAATTTGCTCCATTTCCCGAGTCTTGATGAAGTCTTAGGAAACTGACCTGTTTGGCTAAGCAAGTGGATGTCCAGCAGGTGAAGCGTTACCTCCCACACCAAATTCAACCATGCCTAGCAGGTGGATATCCAACAAGGGCAGCTTCTTCTGCCACGGGGATGCAGTGGGGGTGCGGAGGTGGGGTGTTAAAAATCAGAGGTAGGATTTACCCTGACTGGGAAAACCTGGGTGTCATTGTTGTAAAAAATAAAAAATAAATAAAAAAATAAAAATAAAAGCACTTCCTTCCTCGGTGTGCATGTGCTCTGATGGCAGGTTCCCCAGAAATACTCCTCCCTATCTGGTAATTACCTTGGGCCATTAAACAGGAAGATGGCCTCCGCTAGCGACTGGTTTTAAAATTTGCTGAACGCAACCCACATCATCCTCAGGCCCCAGAGCTAAGGGCCGACATCTAGTCGGCATCGTTTGCGCGGCTCGATGCCCTGCTTCCCTCCAGAGATGGCACACCTTTGCCCCTCACCTTGCGCGGCTCGATGCCCTGCTTCCCTCCAGGGGCTCCAGAGATGGCACACCTTTGCCCCCCCGCACTGCCCACACGTTCCCTGTAAACACCTTGTGGCAGAGCGCGCCCTTGTTCCGTGGTTCTGCCAGGTCCCCGTGGCTCGTCTGGCACCTGCACGGATGCCGTCATAAAAAGGAGAACCACCCTCTGTGACACATTACAGCCACCGTGGTGGGTAGAAGGCTGATCGGAATCTAGTGGCTGGCCGCAGGGCGGTTTGCCGTAAAGGTTTCCAACTCTTCACTGTTCAGCAGCCGTCAAAAGCCCCAAGCCTCTCCCCATCTCCTCAAGAGGAAAGCATGATGCGGGTGAAACTCCACGAGCGAGTGGATCTTTGTCTCACAGAGCTGTCGGCTTAATTCTGGCACTGACAAAATGTTTCAGAGCTAAAGAATATAACCCCCCTTTTTCCCCCCCGGTAGCCACTCTCAGAACTCCAAACATCATCTTCATCGTACATCTGTGCCACGTTTATCGCTCATTTTCTGTTATGCTAAGCTCCATTTAAAAAATAAAAATGGTAGCTTCTACCCTTCTAGTTCCAAGCCCACACCCAGTGCCTACCCAGATGACCATCTAAACTCTTCCGTTTGCTGTGTTCAAAGACAAAGATGTTTCTCCTCCAACGCAAGTGTTAATCTGCTTATCTATGTTTGGATGTACTTGTCAGCCATCAATGAATGCTGAACAACCCCTCAAGGACTATACTGTAATTAAGACTGTCAGCACACTGGCCAGGGCTGGATTATTTTCACGCTACTCTCAATTTTCATCTGGAAATGTTCTTGCCAGGTAAGCGTAAAACACGGGTTGGAAATCTTTTTCCCTTTCAGGTATTTTGGGTTTTGTGTCCAAAAAAGCCACAGATAGCACAACTCACGGTACGGGACTCTTGAGACCGTTGTAGTCTCCCGATAGCTGGGGGGGGGGCAGTTGGTTGGTTTCCACTTCTGGCACAGACCATCGCCCATAAAATAACTTCAAGTGAATTACTTGCTCCACTTTCCCAAATCTTTGCTTAAAAATCAAAACCCAACCAAACGGATCACTGGATGAACCTAACCCTGTACTCCCGCCGTGGCCACCATTCCTCCTACAGCTTGTGTTCTGCTCTGTACGTGTGGCAGAATAAGGTGGGGTAGTCCTGCCATAGCTAAACCGTCCCTTCATTTCTACACCCAGGGAGTCCGATTAAATCCTCTTGGTGGATGTTGTGTTCTCAAAACAAGCAACATCTAATCCTTTCAAGAAGAAAACCAGCTTATCTCTTAAGGTCTGGTTTCACGAAATTAATGTTCAGGGAGCATACTTTATTTGATGTGGGAGGAACTCCCAAAGGAGCTTAAAGAAATGGTACAATCCTTGCTCCCAGTCAGGACTCTACCACTTTCTATAGCTGCAGATCTATCCAGCTCTCCCTCTCTCTAGCTGCTGTCCTCTTACCTTCACAAATGTTTTCCACCAAAGAGGGATTTAATCCAGACCCACAAGAGCCCCAATCATTCCATCTCAGCCTGCTTACCACAAAATACCCTCAGACAACTCACAATATCCATAAGCTGGAAACAAAAGCCATGAAGGGCAAAGGATTTTTGGGTCTTACCTTTGCTGCTTCTGTTGGCCTCTGCCTTTTTTTTTTAGACCCCAGCGGTGTGTGAACAGAGCAGGCAGGGCTACGGCAGTGAGGCAGGCAGCCGGAGGAGTGTGTGAGATCAGCATTTTATTATTTTAGCTTCCCGGCCAGGCAGGCAGACGGGTGGGGTGGGAGGAGGCGAGCGAAAGAGCGAGCGAAAGAGGGAGATCACATATACAGCCTCCGTTATCAATCATTCTGCAGCACAGACCTCCTCTGGTACCGTCAGACCTCCAGTGGCCATTGCCGAGAACTGCCAACGCAGAGGATGAGCTTTAATAGCAAACAAACAAAACAAAACAAACACCATCCAAGCATCCCTCTAAATGCAGTTCTTGAATCCAGAGAAGCAGAAGAGATGGATTCCCAAGCCCAACATTCTATTCACACAGATATAAGAAGAAAAAATTCCCTCCAAACTTGTCTTGTCACTCCTTTAAGTCTAACAGGTTGGCATTAGTGTGGGATTTAATAGATTTCCAACTCACTTCTTCAAATGCATGGAATAGTCCAATATTCCACAGATAAGACACAAACATACAAAATTTACTCTTCCTACAGTGAGTGGATGATCATTTTTGTTATTTGTATTAACCTCTGCTGTACATTTCCACGACTGTCTTTGGCCACACTTGAAGTTCACAACAACCCTCTTAGGTAGGTCAGAGAGAAGGGCAAGGCAGATGTACAGCCCAACCCAAAGGGTTTCAAACCTGGAACTTGAAAAAGTTATTTTTAAAAGGTTTTTTTTTAAAGAGTGGGATCCCAAAAACAATGTTATCAACCTTTTCCACCATGAAGTCAAAATGCCTGGCAGAACATGTATCTAAATTTAATTAATTTAAAAAGGTGTCTGGAAAGGCAAATGCAAATGATCCAAAGTTTCGCAGATCCAAAGGATGGATTCAGTTCATACGCACTTGGAAGGTTAGGCAAGGTGTGCTCTTCCAGCCACTGAAGGATGGCAACCCCAGACATTCCTCACCATTGCCTCTGCTGGCTAGGGCCTATGGGAGCTGAGGTCTGAAAATAAATCCAGATGGCCATCCTTGAATTTCAGCAGCAGAAATTATGCCCCCCCATGCCAAGGATGAGCTGCCGATGGTACCAATGAGTCAAGGTTGGTCCCAAAGATGAATCCAGAAACACTTGACTGATTTCATATCAAGTCACTTTCTGCCCCTCAATAGCTTGTTTGAAACGGCATTTATTTATTTTTTGATACTTGTAATACTCAGAGAAAAGGAGCTATTGTGTAGAAATGGAGAAGACATCAAGAGCAGCAGGAGGGAGTCAGTCTGTGGTTCATGCGGTGGGGACGCTTTGCTTGATGATGATCTTCTGCCTGGTTGCTCGGACATTGGAATCGGCCACGAGCGAGCCAGCCGCGAGAGCAGCTGAGGCGGCAGCGTTGGGCAGGCCGTGGGCTGTGATGTACTTCTTGTAAGCCTCTCGGATGATCTTGAAGGCCCGGATATTAGAGTAGGGGATATCGGTGATAGGGTCTCGGTAGATGGCTGCTTTGTGGGTGACGGGGCAGATCTCCTTCACAGGGAGCTTGGGGGCCCGAGATTTGGGGAAGAAGCGCTCAAAGGTCTCGTCATCACTGAAGGTGACAAATGTACGAGAGCATTTTGCAGCAGGGGTAGAAGAGGTGGCCAGAGCCTCCGGGGCAGCGGGCGGCTGCATTTCCTGGTCCAAACTGAGAGGAGGGCAAGGAAACAGAAGGAAAAGATGAAAAAGGAACATAACCATGTCTGAAACTGCTCTCTTATGACAATTGTACATCTCATAGCAGTATTTGATACCCATGGAAAAAATATGATGACTAGGAACTTGGGAAGCCTCATGCTTGGGAGACAGAGCCTGAAATTCTAGGTGTGCTTCCATGGAAAACAATATGAACTACACGGAACCTATTTCTGAGTAAACATGCATCAGATTAAGTTGACAGACTCTGAATCTATGCTTTCCTCTCTGCAGTAAAAGTCTGCTGTTTAACAATAAGAACTCACACATCAAAGAGATAATAATACATTAAAACAAGACTTGCTGGATCTACCCCAAACCCTCTACCTTCCTGTTTCCCTGAGCGGACAATCAGATGCATGCTGGAAGCTCACCAGCAAAATGCGAACAGAATAGGACCTTCCCAATTGTATCCACCCCCCAAAAAAACCCCAGAAAACAGGTATTCTGTAACACAGAGCAAAACTATGAGGAAAAATGGCTCCCTATTGTTTCCTACTTGACAGAAGGTGGAGAAAAAATGGCGTTGTTCCGTGTTTGCATCTGTGTGTATGTGAACTGTCACAGGGATGACCTGCAACCCTTTAAAAAGGTTAACACATTCCTTCTGTGCTTTTTTTCCAGCAGTGGAGTTGCGGGATGGGGACAGGGAACAGACAGCCTTAAAGCCACACTTTATCCACCCCGAGGCTGACAACATGACACCAGCACCATGTAGTCATACGTGGAAAGCCAAGCCACTCATAAAGAAATGCCACGGCTTAGTAAACGTTGCAGTTCTGTTCTTTATCTCCTCCCACCCCCTTCCAAAGCAGAGGGCACATACCCCTCCACATCCACATTCTCCTCCTTGTAGCCCAGATCAGAGAGGAGAGGCATGGTTCCTGAGTAGTAGCGGAGGGTGGGACCCACACACTTGCGCTTCTTTTGCACCTGCCTCTTCTTGTCTGCTTCTAAGCGCTCGTAGGTCTCTGTGGGAAAGAAAGGAGGATCACAATAGCACATGATTCTTCACTTAATGCCCTGTAAAGAGGCTCTGGAATTTCTGCTCTACAATAACATTTTGTCTAGAAGAAGCATCCCAGAACTGAGGAGGACACGTAAGGAGGTTAGCAGCCTTCCCCAGCTTCTAGCCATGAAACACCAAGCTGAGGACACATTGACTTTTTGACTGCATTAGTCAACCCGTATGTCAAATGGCAATCTCTTTTGCCAGATGGCCCTCAATCATCAATAAAACACCCAAAGCCAAAACATTATTGCCAAAACAAAATCTGAAAACTGGTGACATGAAATTTATAATACACCGTCAAATTCATGACGTAAAATTTCACCAAACAAAAGGCTGCAAAGGTTAGAGATTTGTTAAGCTCATTATTAACCAGCTTTTTAATCAATCAAGCTATTTACATATTAAACTCATTAACAATTAAAAAACCCTTAAATCCACATGCTCTTGGTCTCTTTCCTCGACATCTTTGTGAGGCTGCATATCCTAACTCACCCAGGGAGCGCAAGTTAAGCTCCTCTGTTATCTTGGCCTCTTTCAACAGTTCTTCTTGGGTCAGTGGCCTGTCGTAGCTTGGACCCGCCCCCTTCTTGCGTTTCGACTGAACCTGCCGCTCCTGAAGGCGCAGAAAGGTCTGGCGGGTGTGCTCAGTTGTCGACTGGCGCATGTGCTTTCGACCTGGAAAGGGACACATAGGTGAAGAGCGAGAAGCACAAAACTGTGTAGGCCCATGAACACATCTGTCTGGTTTCCCAAGTAAGGGGGATCATAGGCCTGGTTTGCTTGCCCCCCCCTTCTTAAAGGCTGGCATGTTTAGCAACTGGAAGGATGAGGTATAAGTGAAAATATGCTAGTAGTTTTGATCTCATGTTGTTGACTTTGGCCTCTGCCATTACTAGAATGTGATCTTCAACAGCTTCTCTGAAAGCTTCTCTGAAAGTTCCCCAATCTTAACACCAGGCCTTAAAGACAATGGCAGAATTTTATTCACAAGCCCCCCCCCGACTGAGACCTACTGTCTACTGCGCCATCCAGGGGCTCGACGGGGGCTGATCTTTCTTCTCGGACTTTCTGGGAACTGCTGGTGGGAGCATCTGCTTTCCTGGGCCTCAGGCTTTTGATGGGCTCCTACAGAAGATTCAAACAAAGAAGCCGGGAAAGAAAAGAACAGAGAGGGGTTCTAAGGCAGACCATAAGTTATCATACAGACACACAACAAAAATAGTTTCAAGATACAAACAAGTTCAAGACAGAGAGGCGAAAGGTTGCCAGTCCTCTTATTTACTTTGTAGGCCTTAGTGACAACCCTTCTTTTCCTCTTGGGCTCATCATCATCCTGATCACTGCTAGGCTCATCTCCTTCGTCAATATCAAAGTCCGAATCCACTTCGTCATCACTGTCCGACTGGTCACCTTTATACTCGTCATCACCCGATTCCTACGAAATGGCAAAAGAAACACGTCAGGTAGGAATGGGAGTCCAAAAAAGGGTCCGGGGGATGATGACTCAACTCATCTGGAGAGAACCAAGTTATGGGAAAAAGGTGGGTTCACAACTACCCTCATTCCCAGCCATGCATGGAAACTGGACTTCTGGTGTCACATATCTAGAGAGAACTTGGGACTACAAACACCATAATCCTCTGCAAACTTGGGGCCACACTGGCTAAGACTAATTGGGGTTGTAGTCCAGCCATTTGAGGGGAGCCATGGAATCTGGTAGGAACCCCAACAGGCTGCAAAGCCCGCCCCCTCGCTTGCTTCTGAGCCAATCACCTGCACGCTCTACCTTGGCAGGGACAGCGAAGCCCCGCCCCCTCCCATCACCACGGCGGTCGGTCGGTCGGTCGGTCGGTCAGTCCCGCCTCCGCTCCTACCTCCGTAAAACCCCCGTATGTCGTCTGGTAAAACTCGTCTTCCTCTTCCGCCTCGAGCAGCCCCGAGAGCCGGTTCCCTGCCGTGCGCCGGGGCGCTCGGCCTCCGGCCAAGCTTGCCGAAGCTAACGACGCCGACGCCATTTTTGTTTCTCTGTGGGAAGAGCAGCGGCGATCGATGCGCTCAGCTCGCGGCTGCGCGTCCTGGGCGGAAGCAACGTTGTCGGATTGGTTGGTCTTGGGAGGGGGAGGGGCCGGGCCGGGCCAGAACTATCGAGCACCGAGCAAAGAGTTAGGCTCGAGTGGCTGAGCGCCGATGCAACGAGTGGGAGGGAGTAAATCAAACACCGAGATAATCGATTCCAGCAGCGGTCAGCCAGGTGGTTCAGGGGGCCACTGCACGGATTGGCCCCGTTTGTGGATGCTAGTCTATTCAGAAATAGGTTGTTTCTCAACATGGAGGTTTTATACAGATGTCCTGTGCTTTATCTCCCACCAGAATCTAGCCAACTCCTCTATAGATGTTAGATCTGTGTGTTGCCAAAATGTACATGACACTGATTTATGGTGAATAATGTTAATACTTAACACATAAAACAATACTGGCTGATTCTCATCAAAGTCTGTGGTCTTGTTGCAGTAACACACAGTGAAATGATTCTCTGGATAGCAACAGAAGGGATGATATTTAGATAATCTGCAGTTTATTTTAAATGGTAATCCTCACAAATAGATGGACACCAGATCCTTCTGCAGTGGTAAAGGAGGCGTAGTGCCTCTGCTGATATTGTAAGGACTGGTTTTGCCATCTGGTGCTGCTCCTAAAACGGAAAAGAAGTTAGCCATAATAATCTGATTTTCAGAGAGATGTTAAATCTGCTGCAGAACATCCCCACCCCACCCCCGATATTGCCCAGATATAAATTCTTGGTTTCTCATCTGCCCTTGCTGAACTGTCTGAGCTCAAACAGGAAGGCAAAGGAAGGGGTTAGATAATCTAAATGTCAAGCAGACTCCTTCCATTCTTTTTCATTCAAAGTTTGACATTAATTGGGCATGTCTTCAGACATGTGTGTGTGAACAGAATAATAATAGGGGAAATTCAAACTGAATATTTGTTAATGATGGAAGCCTCTTCCAAGATTATATTAAAAGAGAAATTACTCTTTGAGATAATAAAAGACCTTAATATTTCCTCTCCAGTAGCATCTGCCAGGTAGGTCCTTTCTGGGAATTTGTATTAAAAAGGTACCTACCTACTGCTTGGGGATGTGGTGGTGCTGCGGGTTAAACCGCAGAAGCTTCTGTGTTGTAAGGTCAGAAGACCAGCCGTCGTAAGATCGCATCCACACAATAGAGTGAGCTTCCATCGCATGTCCTTGCTCCTGCCAGCCTAGCCATTCGAAAGCATGCAAATGCGAGTAGATAAATAGGGACCAGACGGTGGGAAGGTAAAGACATTCCATGTCTAGTCACGCTGCCCATGTGACCATGGAAAACTGTCTACAGACAAACGCTGGCTCTACGGCTTGGAGACGGGGATGAGCACCGCGCCCTAGAGTCAGACACAACTGGACTAAATGTCAAGGGGAACCTTTACCTTTACCTTACCTACTGCTTAACTTCCTAGTTACGGAAGTGACTGTTTTTAGTTGGAATGTTTAGTAGATTAACCAGTTAATCAAGTTAATGTTGCCACTGTAATTTAAATGTGATCTTACTCAATTGGAATGTATCTTGATATCATTGGCAAGAAAATAATAGAATTTTGAATGGGAAAACAGAATCCTGACTTTGAGTTCCACAACAGTTGGGGTCAAAATGTCTTGAGCCTCTTGTGTATATAAAATGGTAGTACAATAATTTTCTTTAAAATGTAACTAATCTAGAGATAAAAATGTGCAAGCTTTTAAGATTAATATTACAAAAGTATGCATACTTTTTGATATATTTTTGGGGCCTAATAAGGTTTCACCTCAGTATGGTTATGTGTGTGGGTGTGTGCCAGCCTGGCTAGTCCTGATTTTGCTTAATTAATTCCTGAGCATTCATCTCAGTTTTGTCTGCACAATAACCCTGCAAGGTATTTTAATCTAACGAGTAGTCAAAGACACCCCTCCTCCTTAGGTTGCCTAGTGTAACAGGGCTTTGAAGAAGGATCTTCTAATCCATTGCGGATTAACCCAGGAGTGTAGCCTTACAATAGTGACTAAAGGCCTGTGTTAAATGTTTAATTACAGTAAAACCAAAACGGTTATTAGGGTGTAACATCATATATTAATTGCACACTAGGCTGCCAAGAAGGCTTGTCTCCAACTTGCTTACTATGACGTCATAGTAATAGAGTGCTGATGAGGTATGAGTGCATCACAAGGTGAAGTAGGAAGAAAGGAAGGGAAGAAGGCTCCGTCGCCATGGCAACGCCACTGGCAGCGCAGGTTGTGCCCTGGTTCGGGATGCTTTTATTGCTATGGCAACACCAAGTCGAATCCCGAGCGAGGGGGCGCTCTTTGTGAAAGCGAGAAGAGCCACGCCCACTTCGAACACGATCAATGGCGGTTTACCAGAGATCGCTCTACGGTCGGCTTTCCTTATAGCGCATGCGCACTATTATTCTCGGCTTCCCCCCGCACTTTCCGGGGCTCGCAGCATTCCGTTATAAACAAGGCGGTGGCGCTCTTTTCTTATTTTCCCCTCTTTCGCTCCACCCCCCCTCCGGCCGCGCCAAAGTGGTTCGTCCCGAAGTCGTTTGGGCGGGCCCACGAGAGTCAGCGGGTGCGCGAAAGGGGTGGGAAGCAGCGGAAGAAGGAGGCGTGGCACCCCTCCGAGCGCGGGGGTGGTGCGGCCCGCGGCCGCGTCTTGAAGCGAGGCGGGCGAGACCAAGAAGGGAGTCCGGGGGGGGAAAAAGAAGAAGCGGGACGGAGGAAGAGAGAAGAGACAGGTTGTACCGAAGGGGAGAGAAAGGGAAGGAGGCCGAAACTGAGAATAAAATTAAGCAAGAAAGAGGTGGAGGGAAGCCCTAAGATGGCGTCGGCCGGACCCGAATCTGGGGGGAGCAGCAGCAGCGGCGGCGGCGGCGCCACAGGTGAGGAGGCGGATGGTGGACGTCG